CTCAGAATGCTCAGGGCACCGTCACTACCCCCACTGCCATGGCTTCCAGTCAGAGGAGCCAATCCAGTGAGTGCTCTATCAGGCAAGATCCAGAGGGTTCATGCACCTCACGAGACATGAGCATCACTCAGATCCTGCGCAGTGTGTTCCTAGATGACAGGTTGGACAATTTGGTGCGATATCTGCTCCACAAGTATCAAAAGAAAGAGCAGGTCACCAGGGAAGAAATGCTGCACACTGTGGAACAGGATTATCGGGAGCATTTTCCTCTGATTTTCAGGGAACTCTGTGACTGCATTTGTCCAGGCATTGGTATTGAATTGAAGGAAGTGGATCCCCCTGGCCATACATATGTCCTTGTTCCCATCTTGGGACTCACTTATCATGGCATAGTGGATGATGATGGTCAGATCATTCCCAAAATCGACCTCCTGATATTCATCCTGAGTGTCATCTTCATAAAGGGCAACCGCGTCAGTGAGGAGGACCTAAGGGAGCTACTGAGAAGAAGGAAGACATTAGCTAAGAGGGAGCACACTGTTCCTGGGGATCCCTGGAAATTCATCACTGAGGATTTGGTCCAGGCACAGTACTTGGAGTATCGGCAGATTCCTCACAGTGATCCTGCTCGCTATGAGTTCCTGTGGGGACCAAAGGCTCATGCTGAAACCACCCAGATGAAAGTCCTGGAGCATGTGGCCCAGCTTGAAAAGGCATCTCCGAGGTCTTACCCATACCTATACATGGATGCTTTGAAGAAGGAACAAGGTATAATTGGGGTCACTGAGGGACAAGAAGCATGACAGGGACAAGGAGTATTCCACAACCAAGCCAGTGCCTTAATCCCTACTCCAAGGGAAATGAAGCCCATTCTCAGTCTTTGTGGAGAGCGGTCAGCTTTGTAAGCAGTGAAGGGACAAGGGTGGGGGCAACATACTGTGCATGCAATCTTCATGTCTCTTCTATTTGGGCTCTGAGGAAATGGACCTGTGTGTTCTTTATGACCTTTTTAAATTTTGTTTCTTTTTTGTGAGGTTGGAATAACTTGCAAATCTTTATTTGAAGTATAGTATTGATATCACCTATATTTTTAGTTCTCTGATACTGACATTTGATTATGCTTTCTAAGAGAAGGTGATTTTGTGTGATATTGATCACATGTAGATTTTGTTTTATTACTCCAATTGTAGGAGTTCTTCCTGTTTTATGAAAAAACAGGAAAGCTTTTCATTTGATTTATGATAACATAAGGTTGGATTAGGAATTTCTTTGGAAATATGAAAGATTTTTCACAACAGGTTAGATGGAGTCCAAAAAGAGACATAAGCATACAAATCAATACGAGGCTTCCTATGTCTTTTCCCATGTTGATCTATAATATTAAAGTATGTATACCTGAGTGTGCTTGGTTTCTTCAATTATACTGGGGAAATTTCCTGTCAATAAAGAGCCCCATGTGCTCAGGGGCACATTGACTGCCAAACCTCCATTGCATGTGCGCTCGTGGAAGGCCCTGTGTCTTGGTGGAGATATGAGTACACTAGGCTGAGCAGGATCAGACCTAGCCCATGG